TCAGCCATGATGTTCGTATATGCACGGAAATTATCGGCATTTTTACTCCCCTCCTATGCAGATATATTACATACTGTTCTCCACCGTGCGTTATCTCCACTCAGCAAGTATGCCTATGGCTGAACGCCAAGTGTGAAAGAACAATAATTTTATTCATGGCTTCCGAAATGCAGGGCTGTGCGCCGAGTAGTGCTGACGTGGTCTTTCTTCAGTCCGCAAACGCCTTTCGATATTATATGTGGGGTTTAACGTCCCAAAACTACCATATGATTATGAGAGACGCCGTAGGAGAGGGCTTCGAAAATTTAGACCACCTGAGGTTCTTTAACGTGCACCCAAATCTGACCACACGGGCCTACAGCATTTTCGCCTCCATTGAAAATGCAGTCGCCGAAGTCGGGCTTCGATCCCGCGAACAGCGGGTCAACTGTCGAGTACATTAGCCAGTAGACCACCACGGTGGGGCCTGGACGGTTATTCGAGTTTAAGGTCATGCCATTTGGGCTCACCATGTAGGAAACTCTAAAATATTGCCCCGCCGTGGTAGTCTAGTGGCTAAGGTACTCGGCTGCTGAGCCGCAGGTCGCGGGATCGAATTCCGGCTGCGGTGGCTGCATTTCCGATGGAGGCGGAAATGTTGCAGGCCCGTGTGCTCAGATTTCGGTGCGCGTTAAAAAACCCCAGGTGGTCAAAATTTCCGGAGCCCTCCACTACGGCGTCTCTCATAATCATATGGTGGTTTTGGGACGTTAAACCCCACACATCAATCAACTCTAAAATAGCCGTGTAGTGCCTGGCAATGTATCGAATATATTTCAATGTCATTGCCTCGGAAAAGACACTTCAGGTTTTGATATGGATAGAGCGGCTTCTCAGTGATGTTTCATTGCAGTGAGACGTCATGGACAGTGAGCAACTCACGGCGTATATATTAGCGGCTAATCCGTCATATGTTCGTAGTGCACGTAACCTACTAAGAGAGCAACCGTGCACCGAAATCAACAGTGTTTTTCGAGATGTTCGCTGCGTGCAGGATGCTGAATTCACAAACTTAGTGGAACTGTCTTGACTGGTCGGGATAATGTCCGTTGTGGTAGTGAGAGGGTTGCTGATGCTCGGTTGCAAAAACTCTATTCTCAAAGTGAAAAAAAAATTATACGTGTTGTCTGAATTTAAGGTATGGATAGCGTTAACACAGCATACAAAAGAAGCACGAAATGTTCTTGTTTGAGACGTCTTTGACCAAGCGAAGATGTCAGGGAAATTTCTCAAATCATGTAATGATATAAGCCGTAATAGAGGTTATCATGACATCACATTATTGGGCATTCTGTGACACCACAGAGACATCGTCGATGACGTGATCATGACGTCATCCGCGTGAATAATCAGACCATTCGTGTTAACGCTGAAGCTGCCACCGCCTTCAGTCAGTATTCGCCTTTCATAAACTTTCTACAGATTTCGCTTTGACAGTGGAGAGGTTACACCAAACAATGCCTGCATCGTTGCTATCATGCCAGCCGTAAAAGTAGCATACGAGGTACTCTTTATTTCACCCGCATTGAAATCCACATTTTGCGAACTAACACTGAGTCCTTTGCTCTAATAGCCCTGACAGCGTAGTGAAGTAGGCATACCGACCAATCCCGGCGTTTGCGGGAGGTCGATATACCACATACCACATGTTTACCACATATTTCAATTCGATTACACGCTTGGAATAGTACAGGAGGAATAGCATATGACATTGGCAAAACAATAAGCTCTTTCGCAAACATGATCGCGATATTAATTTGAAGCCAGTCTGTGACGAAACTGCCGTACCGTTTCAAGCCTTCGGATTTACCCAGAAAAAATAAAAAGCTCTTATCAAAATCCTCACGATAACGAACTCCTTTGTTCGCGGGGCCAATTGCACACGTCAAGAGCTTCGGAGGGTTCATAGTAGAATACTTCACGAAAGAAGTCTTTGCTAATGCACAATGCGGCTATAATAATTAACGGTTATGGTGAATTTTCGCGTAATGTGGCTGCACTCTTTTATAGGGTACGGCTATTCTGAAAGGAATGTAGTTACATTATAGACTACGAATGTTTTCAGCACAGTGCCGTGAAGCACTGGTAGATTCCCAGAAACTGACATTTGAGTGTGCCCTGTCCTTTGTCTCATTGTTTGACAACGATAAGACAAAGCAGCATATCAAGGGCATCAGCTCTGCATCGGCCCTCGGCTCTCGAGTCACGTCACATACTTCCAGGCATTTATTTGAAAGCGTGAGTGGGTTGCTTTACCGTAGCCGGAAGCATTCATCATGAGGCCGATTGAGCCGGCTTGCATGACAGTGATTTGGTTCGTCCTTTTCACCCTCTGTTTTCCTCAGAACACAGGTTAGTAAGCCTTTACTAAAGTGTTAGTGAGTTACTTTCGGACTAGGATACTACAAAGGCTCATGGTAAACTGTGCTGAGAAGCACGAGAGATGGTGAATAGATCGAGGGCCCTGTCTTATTGTTGAGTATAATGGTATGAATTGCACCGACCACATGCCATGGAAAGTTTAAGGAGTTACTGCTGAATTATCCTCATTCAATCGCTTCAACCTCCTATTCCTACGTGCGTGATACGTATATTACCCTCTACTTACACATATTCTCGCAATGATCATATACGTAAAGTTGGACTAATGAAATGTTATGCCAGAAGCTGTGACAAACATTTTATTCCCAGGAGCTCGAAGGAATGGAAACACCTTCCCAGTGTGGTTGTTCTTATCAAGGACCACTCAAAGTTTCGTGCGGTCATTAGACTCACTACAAGCACGATCATTCCCTCACTCCTCCAAGCAATCATTTTTTGTGTTACCTATCCCGTTTCACTGCATTATTTTGGTTGCCCAAGTATGTCTTCTTGCGCACTGCCCTTCGTATTTCTTTGGTCTCGGGACGCAGTGATATTAAACGAAATCAAAAGGTACTCCATCACAAAAGCTGGTCATGGCACCAGTGTAGTGGATTAGACGCCGAACAGCACACATGTACATTATGCTCACTTTAATTCAGTTGAATTTCTAGCTAATCGGGTGAAATCACTATACTTCATACAAATGTTATGAATAACACCTGTTACATTTTATGTGCCTCGTTATGTTACCTACCGAAGCGCCGTTAAGGTCATCCGATGACAGAATTGACGGCCGTATAACTCATTGCATTTTGCTGAGCAACAGGGCTCCGGCAGTCACTTCTGTATCAAACAAACATGATCTATATACAGTTTCTTTACAAGCTATGTATATCCTAGGTGCTGCCGAGCTCGAAACTATTCTTGCAAATCTTCTAAACACGCGACTTTGAGATGATTGGGCAGTTGGCGCTTAGGTCTGTTTTAGCTTTCTACTTAAGGAGGCGGGCAAGAAACGTTTGTCCTACCATGGCCTCCGAGATGACAATCGCGCGGCAGCGTCTCTCTCCGGCCATCCCAACCGCACAGAGAGAGCACGTTTCTAGAAGTGCGCGTGGTCCGCACTTTGCTCTGCACCGCGGCGCTGCTCCGTATGTTCGAAAAGGCTGCCGCGCTCTTGACGAAGCTTTCATGTGGCGAGAAAAAAAAAATGGTTTTGCGCTCTAACATAACTTCGTACTCATTTGTGAATGTCGAGCCGGGGTGCACGAGAGGCAAAATCAATGCTTGGGTGCACGCACTTTTAAATGGGATTTTTTTGCTGTAGATTGGCGCCACCTATATAGAGCACTTTTATCGCGATGCCTCTGCAAGAAATTTGCATGTGGTGGAAAGTTGCTGTACTTCGAAGTTTGCAGGCTGTATAGTAAGGAGGGCACTGGCGAAGAAAACGAAATTGACAGCCCGATCAACAAGTGAAGTCAGAAGAGTGCCGCGTTCTACGCTCACGCGTTACACTCGAATTGCTGTTTGCTGTTTCTTTTCTTTCATGGAACTAGCGCTGCTTTTCATTGTAACACCGTTTCGAAAATCCTCCAGTCGAGCCGCAGAAGCAAGATACAGGGAGGAGAGTGCAGGTGGTCACCATGCATCTAGACTAAGTCTAGACTAAACGTCGCTGGTTCTGCGACGTCCACGGGTTGATTACAGGCACGTTTCGGTCAATTCTGGTCACCCATTCGCACTGTAAAATTCGAGGTGCTTAGTGGACACGTCGAGCAATCTAAGATTGAAAATCGAAATATTTTGCTTGTTCAACAAGTACACAACACGCGTTCAGAGTTTGATGTACTTGGTATGAAACACTGTGGTTTTACATAGCGGTGACTTTCTTTCTTTGAGGCGTGATAAAAACAACATTTGTCGTTTAGCGAGTGTCGTGTTCTTTCCATCCTTCTTGTCCATGTTAAAAACTGTGCTACTTAACTTCTTCGGTAAAATGATTGTCTTAAGGCATTTTTTGGAAAGCCGCACGTGTTTTATGACATTAGTGTTTCTAGTGATAAGTTGAACAGCGTCGCTAAGGTGGAAGTCGTATCTTTGTCATCATGCATATAAATTTCATGGTTCTGCGAGACATGCCAACTTATCGGGAGTCAATTGCGTTAACACGTAGGATGCAAAAATAAAACAAACAAAAAGAACAAAAAATGTCGGTTAAAGAAAACGTGTTTCTCAAGTGCAAGTATCTGGGCCAACGGCGCACCGAAAATTTCACGACCTTTACGTAGCATGACGTCTGAATGCCATCGCCTTATGATGCCGTGATGATATCACAGAGCGTCAACATTGACAATGACAAGTATTGAATTCATTACACGACATAGCGGCATAGTCAAAGGTGGGCTAACGACGAAGGCAGCGCAAAACCACGTGACATGTGGAAGCATTTGTGTGCTCCATCTTCGAGAAGCGGTGATAATTCACGCTAGGCGCCAACTTTTCGCGCAAGGAAGACGGATTATCAGTACAACACACCGAGAAGAAAAAGAAGCAGAAAAAAGAGATGACTTTCGCTTTTCAGTCATGTTAGGAGGATGCACAAGGGACCGTGTGAGTTGTTCTCGGGAGGTTCAGTTACGTTTACTACTAAGTAGATACAAAACCGAGGCTATGTATCCAAGTATATTCCTAACAATTGTTAAAGATTGACGTGACTTCAGAAAAAAAGAGGGAGGAAGGGAAGTTACGAGGACTATAACCTAAAATCCGGTCAGGATTTTTACTCATATCACTGACGTGCGATGTCAAGCTATTCTTCTTGAGTGACGTGAATGTGATAATGTTGGAAACACGTATTCAGGTGCAATACCCGTTCGTTTTGGTTTCGAGAATTTATTAATTATGATATCTTGCTTCAATCAAAACCAATTAAGCAGATTCAACTGAATATCACAAACAGGTAATAAATAACCACCTTTGGATGACCTGTAAAGAAAAAGAGACTAAAGGGGTCACCGGGCGATTTAGGGAACTGTTTTTGAGAGCGATAAAAAAATTCACGTCTTTTTTAACAGGTGCCACTGGAAAGAAAGTTGTATGCTACTGGCAGGCATGGTCCCATAACAGATCGTCACCGCATGCTTATACTGCCGACGACATCCCCATTCACCTCTGCACACACGTAGTCTTCTCCTATGCCAAGCTGGACAACCGTGCGAGTAGCCTGCACCTGGGCAAAGAATTTGACGCAGGAACAGGTCAGCAAGTCAGAATGTACTATCTTCTTTAACATAAGCCAGTCTCAAAAACTTCCAAGACGAAGCTGTGGTAATTCAGCATTCATTATAAGCGTAGCAGCTTCATTCATGTCTTCTCCCCGTAGTCCAGAAGGAAGGCGAAAGTTCATATACGTTATAACTAAAATCTGAAGTGGCCTTGTTCTTATTGCCCAACTAGAAGGAACTTTCATAACGGGTTTTAGTGTATTAGCACCTCCCATGATAGCGCAAAGTGTTTCACTCAACGTTTGATATTTTTTGTGCAGCTTACGATGTGGTCCAAGCTCAGGAAACGTATCGTGAAAGAAGCAAACTAAGGCACGTTTGCGTAGATACCTATGTTTTGTCAGCTTTTGTGTTACGTGGGCAAATATACGTATCAAAGAAATTAAACTGGGTGCTGACGTGACTGTTGTACTATGTGCATTTGAGGTAAGGAGCTTTGTGTTTCTTTTATAATCTGTGACATCAGCTATTGTGGCAGAGGAGATCATTAGCCGCTGCCGCCCACTGTTAGGAACTTCCCCTTCATCATCATCGTTATTGTCATCATCAGACTGACTACGCCCACTGCAGGACAAAGGCCTCTCCCATGTTCCACTAGTCAACTCAGTCCTGTGCTGGCTGCTGTCCCGTTATACCCGCAACCTTCGTAATCTCATTTGCCCACCCAACTTTCTGTCTTCCTCTAGCCCGCTTGCCTTCTCTGGGAATCCAGTTAGTTACGCTTATTGATCAGTGGTTATCCTGCCCACGCGCTACATGCCCGGCTCATGTTCATTTAGTCTTCGCAAGTTCAAAAAACTCTCCTTACATACATTTATACATACACGAAGAAATGTTTGCACTATCTTTACACAAACTATAGCAGCCCTAAAACCTAGCTTCTAATGATGAATACACACAAACTAATCTTTGTTTGAATGCTATCCCATGCATATGCTATACTTCGCGGGTGGGAAACAGTGGCCAATATAGAAGTTGACCAGACGGAGAGTACTGAAGGCACAGTTGTGTTTCCACAATGTCCTATTGAAAACCGCTGCACATATGTAGATAGCCGTGTACGGAACATTCAAAGCCTGATGCTGTTCTATTCGCAAATATACCAGTGAATGTGGACCACCAACACCATCTGTCATCATCACGAATAAGTTATGCTAGGGAAAGTTGACCCTTTGGTCCGTGAAGCTGTCCTTCGAGCGCTTACACAATAGCTTACTATTGCACGTCCGTCTGGTCTGCCTTGAGGTGTACCAATTATCATGAACGCCCCGGAAGCTCTACATTCCACGCTCTAGGACCAGCATTGTAGCATGCTTTAACGTTCCGTTTGTAAGAGTTAGTCAATTTGCGCATTTCCTTACCCAGTGCATATTCACAGGGTTCTGTTTGAACAGCTTTGTTCTTTACCATGTAAGAGACTAGTTATCATTACTATGAGGGCCTCCATTTGAAATATTATATGTTCTTGTTATTCAGTTTTCAGTTATGACTGTAACTGTATTTATTCAGCCGGCGTGTGCTCAGTCTTACGAGGATGTAAGGTACTAGGCGCCGCATAATGGCTTTACTTCATGATATTTCCAGACGGGTACTTCCGATTCCTTCGCCTTAAAGAGAGAAACCCTAAAGTGAAGCTGCTACTCGCCTTGGGAGACCGGTATGGTAGCGACCATGCTGCCTGGTATGGGGCCATCCATGACTCGCCCAGGAGGTACCACGTCATGGGTATGCTGTATAGACTGCTGAAGGAGTATAGATTCGACGGCCTCCACATCGACTGGAAAAACGCACTCGCAGGCGAAGGCAATAGCACGGAAAACGGAATCGTCAAGTTCGCTTGGGTGAGGCGATTGCAAGTGACAAGTACATCACATTTCTCATTAATGATGAAGCGTAGCTAAAGAAAAGCATTCGCTTCCTGCTGCGTAAGTCCATGATAAGGGCCACCAGTAGACAGCGGCACGTTGTGAAATGTACTGTGGTAGTGTTTTAATATCTCGTTGACTAAGGCAAAGAATCACTAGTAAAACATTGAAATGAGAACTGGCCAAGCTGATTACGTTCTCAAGATGTTTCCTGGTAAACATCTCGACCACGTGGGTTGTGATTACCTCTAGTACGCGTTCCCAAAAAGAGAAAAAGTTGCTCGAGTAAAAGAAAAAAGAAACTGGCGTAACGCCTTTTCAAAATATTCTTCTCGCCCAAAGCAAAACGTAAATTTATGAATAACTTTTAGTCAGTATATACTGAATGTTACTTGCAAGTAAATGTGGTATGTAGAACATTTTCACTAAGTTCTGATCAATGTTAAATCTAAGAATAAATTTGCGAAAAGTTTACCTTTTCCAGCTTTCTGAACCGTATTACACTACACATCATTTGAAAATCTGATGTCATAAACTATTTTTTTGCTAAGATAATATTTCCTGAGAGTGAGGTAATATAAAATATCGCTTCTAAGTGTTATATTTATACGGAGAAATGTGAAATGTGCAACATGTTTTCCTTAATTAGGGTAGGTTGTGTAAACATCTCACTGAAGTGGAAAAGCTCGTCAAACCCATTTTAAACGATAAGACTACGATTTTTATGCAGGGTCAATTTTGTACAAACCCAATTTTGAAAGAATATTTTTTTTTTGACAGGACGTTTTAGGAGGCATACTTTCAAGATTTTCGAGAAACTTCACATGCGGCTTGCGGAAATGAAAGACTTTTGCACTAGAATTATTTTCACAGGACACTTTCTGCTTTAGATAGATAGTCCTCATATTTTTAAGTCAAATCGCAGATGTTCACGCGGCAAACCAGAGACAGTAGGCGCGGAATGAACGTAAGAATAATATTTTATCTCTATTGAAAGGTACTCATGATGCAGAAGGACGCTGTTGTTGTATCATTACAATGTGAGCAAAGGCATGAATTCAACCAGAGTATTAGTATTTTTTTCAGGTTTTACGCAAAAAAGTTACCTCATTTTGGGATACGCCGTAATAGATGACTCCGGAAGTTTCGCTGGTTTGCTTTAACATGTGCTTATACCGCACCAAACATAAATAAACCTTTCTTATTTTACATTCGCTGAAATTTAACGGTGGCGGCAGGGATCAGATCCACGTTTCTCAGGTTAGCATCCAAGCTCCGTAACCACATTAACACCGAAGCGGACGAAAGACACGACTTCCACTGCAACCACAATAAAAAAATAACGTTGGTAAATTCCTGTTCCTCAACTCATAACATGATATGAAACGAACGCGTAATTTTACCACAACTTGCGTTTGAATGCAGTATTTTTAAAGGGACACTAAAGTCAAATAACAATTTCCGCCAGAGTGAAAGCTGTATGTATGACAACATTTAAACGACAATATTATCAACAACAATGCCCTACATACCGATAAATTAAGGTAAATGCACAAGAGCCCATGCGCCGCAGTTGGACCTTCTCAAAATGATCCCGATGACTTCAGACGGACCACCTACAATTAATCGCTAGTAATCGATGTAGCTTCACTATATGAAGACTGTTCCGTGCATCAAGAGAAGCAATAAAATGCTGCTTGTTCATTTCGGTTTGATTCACGGAAAATAGAACCGCCGGAGGTTACTTTCGGGAATGGCGCGAGTGGTTCAAAAATTCAATAGTTTTACTTGACAGGTGGCACCATCTAGCGGGGCACAGTTGAACCGAAAAACGTCTGCAATGACGGAGTCAAATGCGGTAAATTGATCAATGGCCGTTTTTGCTGCTGTGGCTCCCACTGCTTTCAGTCTGCTGCTACTAGAGCAGTAAAGCCGGGCAACGTTGTGCACAGCCACAGTGACGTGAGTCGGTTCGGTCGGTCAGCTTCTTGAGGCGGGTAATTTGAAGTCCGCCCACCCAATGTGGCCCACTAAAACGTAATTTTATTTCAAAGAGGCCCTTTATTGGCACAGAAATAAAACTACGAGGTTTCTGGACCGCTATTTCAACAATGAACGTCGACTTAATAGTTGCCTTTAGGGTCCTTTTAACAGCTGTGCTACGTTATTTGTAGTAATGAGCATAAGGTGGAGCGAATGTAAACTTCTTTTTCAGTGTGGTGAAGGAGAGGGAAGACGACAGTTCAAGCTTTTGTCGAATAATTAAAGCAGGTGTGCACTGTGCTTTTAAATCAACTGGACAATGATTGCTTGCAAAGTCAAATAATATAAAACCGGTGCTTCGCATACTGCAGTGCCAGTTTTCAATATTTGAAGATCATGAACCATCAAACTCCCTCCCAGACTGTGCATGTGAGAGTGCCAACACTTCAGTGGTAAATCTTCAACCGAGTAATGTATATCCTTCATAAACATGGAAAAGACAGGTATTATGTGGGGTTTTATGCAGGCTATATATATGCTAGGTTTAATTTCTCAGCGTAAATGGCCAGGCTACAGAGAGAGATGCTGACAGTAATGACGCGGCAATATTTGAACTAATGATTTTGATACTTCTTTTTTCTTGCAGCAAGTACAAAAAACTTTCAAGCGATTCGCAAACTTTACACTGAGCTGCACCACTGTCCTGTCAAAGGGGCGGGGACTCCAAGCAGTGCTTCGTCAGCTCGTGCCGTGAGTAAAATTTATCATGTTAAGATTGCCGACTGAAATGCCACTCTGCTGAAAATTGGTAGACACTGTCAATTTTACGCAAGAAATGCTGTTATGCGCAGTTTTAGCGCGTATAGTCCCGTTCCTGGGTTGAGTGGTTTTGCCGTCGACGTTGCCAGTCACTGGCGTAATCAATAGACCTGATAAAATCACATAAATAAAATATCCAGGATAGGATGAAATTTCATTCCAGGCACTTTGCGTGGCAGTCGGATATTCTACCACACAGCCACACTTATTTTTCTTTTCACAGAGCCACGCGGAGGCTTGAAAGTGGCTTTGAATAGTACCTTTATAAAGGCATCGTGTCGGGCAAGGAATCACGTTAGGTCGTGTAATATACAGAGTGGCAGTAGAGTAATATAACGACCATTCACCACACAGTGCTAATTGTGCAACGACTGTATGGTTTGATGCCTCTCAACCACTGCAAGTTGCTTAGCCACAACTCTGCTCCATCATGAGCCACGTTCAGCAGCAACAAAATACAGATATTACCTTACTCATGAGTAGCGGGCACCTTTTTTTTTTTTTTTAAAGACGATAGTCTTTCTTGGGGACCTTCGACGGAAAAATTTTGGTCTGTCTATCTGTCGGTCTGTCTGTACAGTTTTCTGTTTGTCCGCCCTTAACGATACCTCAAACGGCACCAAACGGCCGACCCTATCCAAAGCACCAACCAATATTTCTCAAGTTTCAGCGTTCATAGTGGTGCGATTGTCAATTAACAGGCAATTATTGAGCTTATCTGAGGCACCATAACAACACGTCGATGTTTTGTATGCGTGCCTTTATACCAGGGAAGGTATACACAAGTAACTCTGAGGAGTGTAGCGTTTTTCGCGCTGCGCTGGCAGTGCAACGCGATGCTCAAAAAGGTAAGCGTTTCCAACGCTTTCCTAAGACGACACGGTGGTGGCACCTGCCAATTGCTTTGCGTTCTACACCTTATCACCTTCTAGACAGGCGCGCATCTTTCTCCGCCGGCGCGCACACCTTCGTTTTAGAAAATAACTGCCAGATGGCGCTCGTGTCTAACGTGCCTCGATACGCTCGTTCGCCTCCGCTACATGCTCGAGGCACTCAGCGCCTCCAGCATACCTTTCACCGATTTTCTTGCACAGAACATCAAATAAACGTTTTGTTCACTCTCTCCAGACGCAAGACTATCATCTTTCGACGACATTTGCATGTGTAACATGCAGATTCAGAGGCAATTCCTTTTCTGCAGAAGGACGAATAATGGCTAAGTCTGCGCTATCCTGCGTCCCTAGAAGTATGATGCACAGGGCAGTTGAGACATTGCGGAAAGCCAACACTTCAAGCCCAGTTTGCAATGACCCCACACAAAATATGTGCGCTAAGAATTCCCATTAGGCAGTATGCTAATCGTCGATGAACGTTTTGGTGACCTTCAGGTTACTTTCTTTCAAAAGCCAGTGCCATCATTCAGGCATCAGACACGAAATCCGGGTTCTGATAGAACAAAACGCGAAAATCCGGGTTCTCAAACGCCATAAAAAAGCGTGTGCTCTCGCTTCGGACCCATTCTTTTGGGCCACATTTCAAACGCTAGCTACGTCCAAAATAGACAACGCAAATACTGCATCCGAGTTCTCAGTGCTTGTCGGCGCTATGGTTGGAGCATCAGGTACCAGTATACTAAAGTCATATTCGATGTTCTCATAAGCATTGCTTCAGCAGGATAGAGACATCGCACCCTATACTTGCTCTCAAACTTCAGTACCATGGCTGGGTTTTCATAAACTGCAGCAGCGACCCGAAGCTAGAGCTAATCATGAAAGCATCAGTATTAATGGTAATTATCCTCATCTTACGAAAGATGGCGCCATTGTGGATGTGGCGCACCACGCAGCATGACGCTTGCTGCACCCAAGTGTAAAGCAGTATGCCGGACACTACCATCAGCTTACCCTTCTTGCGTTCCTCTCGTCTTTTTTGCGGCTGTTGTTATCTCCAACCAGAACGCATTGCCTAGTAGCCTTTTAATGCTTAAGTTTGCTCTATCACGTGGGAGGCAAGCAAGTTTTTATCGCTGTAATCGTGTATTGCTGTTGAGCCACTTTTCGGGATGCTTTAAGTTTCTTTTGGTTTTGGTTTTTTAACTTGAAAGTGAGTGCCATACGCCAAATCGCCGGCAAAGGGTGTATTAAGGGACAACTTCGCTGTTAAACGTGCTGGCCCATTGGTCCCTTCAGACGTACGTAAAGCTGCTTGAAATCTCACCGCAAATCTCTGAAGTTGAAGCAACGTACACATTTTACTGAAAGACATACCAACAGCACGTTTACCAGTTTAAAACACTTTTGGTGCGGTAGACGAAATGGCTGATTGATTGATTCACTGATTGCTATGTGGGCTTTAACTTCCTAAAACCACTATATTATGATTATGAGAGATGCCGTAGTAGAGGGCTCCGGAAATTTCGACTACCTAGGGTTCCTTAAAGTGCACCCAAATCAGATAACACAGGCCTACAAGATTTCCGCCACTATTGGAACTGGAGCCGCCAAAAGCCGAGATTTGATCTCACGACCTGCGGGTCAGTAGCCGGGTACCTTAGCCACTAGGCTACCATGGCCGATCGGAAGAAATGACCAGAAAGGGCCGAGATTTCTGACGCCCCAGCCATGAACTATATCATTCCTGGTTAATCTGATGTTCTGGTCACAGAATTGAACGAACTATCAGTAAATTGATGGAATATGAATGAGGCAGGGAAAGGCTTATTTACAGAAAGGCAGAGAGTTCGGCCTGAGTGATAGCATGCTCTATCTTGCTACTCTACACCGAGTGCAGGAAAAGAAAGGAAAATAGAGTAATGATGATGACGGTGAGATAGAGAGGTGAGTATATACAATTATTTCCAGCTGAGAAAAATGAACGATGAAGTCGTAGTGCTAGAGGAACATACTCAACTTGTAATAGAGAACTTAATATAAAATATCAATCGTACTGAAAAACAAAAAATAGCGAGGACATATTCTTTCATCAACTTAGATGACATGGAGTGCAATGGAAAGCCGAATGTGTGGTTGGGTATGTAGTCGCTTCACGGACACAACATCCACCACAGAGCGCACAAAATCTTGCACTCAGTTTAGGCTCGCAATGAAATTCTGCTTTCGCGAATGTGTGGTCACGGGCGCACTCGTCGCCTTGACATCCAGCGTACGATCACTCAGCAGTTCTGAGAATTTTAATAAGGCATGATTTTACAGGTATGTGGATACTTTTCACGTGAGCCCTGTCGGCGATTCAACTGGCCGTGTGAGTTCCAACGGCACCAACGTCTCATGGAGCGATTTGGACGCCCTCTATACGTCTGTCCCACGGGCTGCCATAGTAAGACACTTCACAAAGTTTTCTTTGTTGAGCAGCCTTGGTTAGGCACTTCATTTTCACGGGAGCTCTTGGTCAAAGTTCAACTAATATCAATGCGAAACTCTTAAATACCTCACAAAACTCGAAAAAAAAAAACTGCCTGCTTCAACGACGCCAACACAAACGATGCAAAAGGTAACTTAGTATCAGGTTGCGGTGAAGGTACGTCATCATGACATCGCAGATAGCAGGTATTAGTGACGTAAGCATGATGTAATAGTGGTGTCCCTACCGTGGAATGAAAAACATTTATTAAAGGGGGAAAAAGAGGAAGGGTTCGAAGAAGGTGGGCGGAGCCCCTAATCCAGGGCTTCACTGACCTCAGCAGCTCGCACCACCTGTTCCAGAAGCGCCATTCCGGGCTCCTTTTCCTCGCTGGTGATTATGATGTCCCACTGCTTCATCCCGAATTGTCGCGCCGGTTTTCGAGGCGCGTTGACGTTGGGTGGCTTTAATTCACACTTTCATGTAACGCGAACAAGAGTGGCCAGTCCTGCACACTGCAGTAATGTACCGGCGTGGGCGATTGGTTTGTTGGCGTGTTACAAGCTCAGGCAAGGATATCCATTTATCTGCTGACGGCGCCACTCACGCCCCCCTTCTACACCAAGCCGGGACTGATGCGGGGAGTATCATCATTGTTAAATCATAGCATGCACAAAGGCTGGCCAGTCTTGGTGGCAATCAACCTCTAGGGGAGGAAGAAAAACTTGCATTGTCCACGGATCTAAAAGGCATAAAAAACCGCGTTAAGTGAAAAACTTCCGTGAAAGGAGTGAAGAGGGGGGGGGGGGGCTTCAATACAACTTTTGAGAATAGGTGGTACAAGACAGTCTTTTTATTGCGATAGCAATTATATAGACACTCTCGGCTGGATTTCGCCGCCAGCGTCGGCACCGATGTCATGCACCGTATATGTATACGCGTCTACATATATGAAAACGCAAGAGAGAATAAAATTCATTAAAGTAAAGTCTCTGGCGCACGGAATCGACCATGGGACCTTCGCGTCATGAGTGCGAGGCGTTAACCATTGAGCCACAGTAGGAAACGGCAGGCTATCTATATATACTACCTAGCGCCGCCTCTATTTTTTTTACAGAGGAGGCACTGCTACTATTTACCGCTGTTGGTGGGCATCTCGGGGAAGAGAACTGTCGAGCTTTCAGCATTATCAGCAAGATGGCGCAGTGAGCGCGCGGCTGCTCTCATCTCTCACGCGTACTTTCGCCAGCGTAGAGAATAAGGAGGTGTACGCTCGATCGTGCGCCCTTATCTTGCAGTGGAGAGGATCGTGCGTCGTACGTAATCTGTTGTAGTTACTGGGCGCACAAAAGTCACTGCAAGCGTTGCACATCCTCCGTTTGCGAGAACGGCGCGTTTTTCAGGCAGGGCAAAGTAACAACTGAGACGCATATTCACGTTCATCTGTACCCGTGAATACGTTTCGTGCGTCATTTATGCGTGAGAAACGCGGGGTACGTTTTGATCTGCTTGCTATTCAGTGGGTGACCTTCTAATTTGTTGCTATTGCGTTCATTGCTTCGTATTTGCGGCAAAGCTGTGACTTTTTTCTTTAAATAAAAAGCTAGAGTTCCGTGTGGCCAGTTTTTGATGCCACTATAAAATAATGAACTGCTATTCTCATTCATGACACTCGTTTCTTCAGGATTTTTGTAACATACACGCCCCGCCATTTCCACAAACTCAATGCAAAAATGAACACACTGTCGGTGATGCCATAATCGCTTCATCACACAAAAGTTTGAATTAAATTGAATTATTTATTCACAAACATCACACACAAAAATACTAAGACTGGTTGAACCCATAGCTAAAGGCTACTAGAGGGTCCAATGAAAAATAAAAAAAATCACATTTTTCATGTACAAGAGATACGAAAATGCCTGCGGGTACAATCAATATACATTTTAAATTGCACAAGGGTACAAAATGGAAGCAAAGGGATCGTTAATTGCAAAGTTACAAATCTTGGTAAACATGTAATAACAGTCGAATAATGTAATTTCATGCATTAATATGCAAAGTTCTAATTTACGTGTTTAACGTCGTGGAAAACTTGTTTCGTAAGCATGCTTCAGCAAACTACTGGCAAGCGAAAAAATGACATCCTGATTGTTCACACTGAAGCAACATCGTTCACACTAAGGAAGTATTTTTTAAGCACAGATGAAAAATTATTTGATTGTTCTATTTCTACTGGTAGTTCGCTGGGCGCACGTTAAAGAACCCCAGGTAGTCAAAATTTCCGGAGCCCTCCACTACGGCGTCTCTCGTAATCATATGGTGGTTTTGGGACGTTAAACCCCACATATCAATTCTACTGGTAGTTTATTCCAGACTTTTGCTCCGGAAAACTGCAGCAGGCGTTCCCCATATGTATTCCCGTTTCATTAAACGTTTGAGCAGGGCATTAAAATTCTTTACACAAATGGTTCATTAAATAATTGTGCAAGGAAGTCACATTGTGCGTCTCATTAGGCGTTAAAAGAACACGTTAGGATAACCTACATACAATGGTGTGTCGCATTCTCAAAGGTTTTGTAACTGTCTAGAGAATATAGAACTCTGAGGTCACGAATGGAGATAATTTATCACAGTGAGCGTACCAACATTGTGCTTGAGCTTTGTCGCTTACGTTGTAAAAGCTCGACCAATTGATTGATTGGCTAATGTGTGCGGTTTAACATTCAAAACCCGTGCACCGTATGATTATGAGAGACGCCGCAGTGAAGGGCTTCGGAAATTTCGACCCCCTTGGTTTTTGTAACGTGCACCCAAATCTGAGCCCACAGGCCCACAGCACTTTTGCCTCCACCGAAAATGCTGCCGCCGCAACCGGGATTCAATTCCGCAGCCTGCGAGACAGTAGCCGATTACCTAAGACACAAGACCACCACGGCGGGGTCAAAACTCAACTAAATATGTTTAAAAGGCTATATGTAAAAGCAAGTTCACAATATGAAATTATATACAGTTCTGTAGTTTTTGTGCTGTAATTCAAAGTACTTCGATGCTGCCTAAGATGATTTTAGTGCAATTGTGTCCCAAAATGTTCAAAACATGAAGCTTGCGAATTTAGTGTTCCTATTTGTTTCTTTTTATGCCTAGGGAGATGGCCTGCAATATCTCTTTCAATCCGGCGTGCCTTATGAGAAAATTATTCTGGAAATACCATTTTACGGATTGAAAGTTCCTGAGAACAGCCAGCGTTCGGAACATATGATACCATATTATGAGGTAAGAATGTGGTCAACGTATAACAGTACGTGTCAGTCACTGTTATATCATAGATACACGTCATCGTGAATGGATGTTTTTTTTCTTACTGAGTTTACCGTGTTCGGTTATAATTCGGTCACTCAGGGAAACGTCAGTGCCGGAGTCCTTCGATTATCAATTTTTCTCTCGGTGATCCAAAGCAACGTTTGTGAAAAAGAGAGAATGAAGGTAACGCTACCGAAACGAATAATTCCACCCAAAACTGAACTGATAACTCCGACGCTACACAAATGCGCAGAGTACCGTATTCCTCCATTCCTTTGCTGGATCTCCGTAAAGTAGCCATGGAAGACCCATACACGTGCCCTAAGGAAACAACAGCAAAGAAGAAATTACGGTGGGGGGGGGGGCGCTGAATTTCGCTCGTAAAATGCGTTTTCCAACTGGGGTTACCAAGTGTCTCAGAAATTCTGGGATTGTCTAGGCTTTTTCATGCAGCGTACTGAGTGCCACGCCTACCCTGTCGGGCACAGCTATGTTGCCCCGGCTCTGTCCCGAACATCCAATTAGGAACTTTTCATGAAGTCCTGACGCACGCTCAGGAATGTGCGTCACGCTGCGAAACACGAATATGACGTGAATCACACGCAAGAAGCAAACTTATGATGGCTTGCGAGGGGCTCTAGCTGAACTTGCAAGTGAAGTTCCACCACTTTTACGAGATACTTTATCTAGCAAGGGGAAGTTTTGCTAACAGCGCAAAGCCACCTGAACTAACATTCAAGAGGCCGTTACAATAAAGAAACGACAAATTAGTTTGGAACGTCACGCAATAAAGCTAAACGCTGACTCCCTGTGTTAATGCACTCCCCCCCCCCCCCCCCCCCACTTCTTATTCCGTCCCGACTCACTTCCCGTCCCGTTCCAACTCCCATCTCGTCCAGACTCATTGAAGTGTTGGTAACAATATTCCGAACTTGTAAGACCCATTGTGTAAAGTTTTAGTGTGACTAGTAGTCACATGTTCCGTAGTAAGTTTGTCTTTCATCGTTGCGGTCTGGCCCGATTGATCAGCTCTGGGCAGTCCGGCTGGCTGCAGGACCCCACCATGAGGTTACATTTAGCTGCAACCTAAGGAAGGTGAGCTCTGGTATAGGGCTAGTCTTCCTGCCTCGCCTTCGTTGACACCACTAAGGACAAACATAAAGTTTAAAGGGGTTGTGAAACGGTCGCTTTGCAACGACAATGTGACACCATCGGCAGCCACATGTGATAACTATATCATCAGCCCGAGTGGACCTGCGTAGACGCTTTGCCTATCAAAGAACGCGGAACTATATATGGCAAATCGAGCGCGCGAAAGAGGCGCTCATCGGCGTCTGCCATACGCGATCCGCGTCTCACAAGAACGCTGCTTATTAGGACGTCGGAGTTCAAGGTAGTGCTGATTTCATATGGCAAAGACGCTGATGAGTGTCCCGGTTTCACGCACTCGCAAGTACCGAAAAGTTACACGTTCCTCGATAGGCAAAGCATTAAGTATGATGACGTCACCTCGTTAGTACGTGTGGACGCCGGTGGCTTCGCACTGTCCCTTTAGAGCGAGCGTTTCATGACCCCTTTAAAAGGGCCACTCACCAGGTTTGACAATTTTGAGCTGACAAGCGCAATGCGTAGACGAGGCGTTCATGATCACGTCTGCCAAAAATTGCAACGCTAAGCGCCGTGGAAATGGGTCAAATTTCAAGATGAACGCTGCTCCCCCTCCCTTCTGCCGGTGCGTGCCCAGATAATGAGGGCATGACGTGCACGTATGAATGGCCCTACGTACACGGCAATGCAGTGATGTTGGTCCTCTACGTAGACGACTCTGCTCCGACGTTGCAAACAGTGGCACGTGACATGGCAAAAATTATTTAACACGGCATGCGTAGTTTATGTAATTTTTTGCTTGAAGAGATTAATAAAGCTCTAGATAAATAATTAGACGCAATAAGGGAATGTGAGCATGCTTTTTCCCATTTGTCTTCCGAGAATTGCTACGAGACGCGGGGCTAATGTATCGGCGTTTTGCATGCGTTCGTGTACCCGCGGAGCGCATCGAGCAGACGACCACCGTGCAACGCTCCTACGCGTTCGTGCACTCATTGTATTCATTTATCCTACCGCGTTTCCAAAACATCCCGCAGAAACAGGCAGGAGACCGCAAAATAACGCTGGTCAACAAAGAAACGCCGCTCGCGTGCTCGCGGGTTGGACTCGTTTGGGCACGTCATGCGCACGTGCACCTCTTGTTCAGATTCCTGCGAGGGTGGGGAAAAGATTTGGCTTACGAAGGCTACACGGAGGAACGGAAAGGGTTTTGAACTCGCCTCCTCTCATCCTCGTTTCGCGCCGCTTCAAAAATCCCGTTTTCTCCACTTGTGATGAAACCGATTAAAAAACTTTTTGTCGCAAAATTTTCCTCATAGGACACCCAACAATTTACACTGTCTAACTAAAATTTGGTATGGGGCCTGGTGAGTGCCGTTTAAGCTTCCTATCTCTCTCTCTCTCTCAATAATTGGGCAACGACTACTAGTGTACGAAGCTCATTACGGCTAACGTTATGAGTTTCTTAGCTCTTAGTCCCGTCCCAATTCCGCTTTGCATCGATGTCTCCAGTGTGGAACGTACTTGGGAATGGTCCCAGCAATACAGTGAATAACATTATTTGAAACGAATTCGTTGATCCACCTAGTGGCTCTTTCCAGCAAATTCGTCTTATATGACTCAAAATGATGTACGACGTAAAGAATAATAAAAATGCTCTGTAAAAAGAAAGCTTTACCTGTGTGAAACGATAAAATATTTCACGTAATTCTTGGAAGGTTGAGCCCCACATGTTCTGTGTAAGGCTTCGATCTTTCGGCTATTAAGGTCTTTTTTTTTCCGAAACAATGCCACCCTCATAAAAAGAATCAGAGGCGACGCAAATCGTTAACTTAGATGTCTCGTAGTGGTGTCCTCACGTCGGCGTTTACATCAAAGAGGTTCAAAAAATTTCTGCATCCCCATGAAGAGAATCATGACGAGTAGGTGAAGGTTAGTCCTAAAGTCTATATAACCTACGTTACAGTCGCCATCTCGTGGAACCGGTTTGTGCTTGTAGGTGTTTAAAACTGTTCTGTCGCAAATATAACCGATGCTATTCTATTGGTAAAACTTTCTTATATGTCTCACATATGTTTCGACTATACTGTAGGTTACCCTAGTGTTGCCTCATGTAATGTAGCCGACGACTTCGCCGAACACGCTTTGGAATTTGCACAGTGTCCTTGAATTTTTAACCCCCTTTGCGCACCTTTGTCAGTTCCTTGCTTTGTGTTACTCTGTCGTAGGGAAGACAATCTCAGAGGATTTGTAGAAAGAAGTGCGTGGCTGAAATCTGCTCCGCCAGGTGTCTACTGGCGGAGCAGATTCCCACCTTCTCCCAAGAAAGGCGTACCATAGTTTCCTAAAATTAACTAGAGGGGCTCTGGCGCTGCGATCGTTCAGCGACCATGGGAATGATGGGTAGTACACACATTTGCGTAGTCTTCGTACTTGCGGCTTCATTTATTGCTGTGTTTCGGTTTTGTTTTCAAAGAAAGATTCAACCCTTCTGAATTTCGGGACCCGATTCGCAAAGGTAAGTTTAAAAGACGAAAATGGAGAAGCACAACTGCTGAACATTCGCTAATGTTTGTTTTGTAAGAAAACAGTTCCAAGCCACACGAACATACACGGAGCCAAAATCAGGCCAGAAGTACGAAGATTGGACAAAGGTGTGTACTACCCATCATTCCCATGCTCGCTGAAGTGCCGTGCGTTGCAGCTCCCATAGACACTAGCACCAGAGTTCCCTCTAATGTATACTAGGAAACTCTATGAAGCGTACGTCTGTTCTTCCAACAAACTCACTGAGTTTCATTTTCAGTTATATTTTCTGATATTCAATTAACGTTTATGCTAAGTAAGCACGAGCTTCGATTATATGTATATCCGCTATATTTCTTCAACAAATACAATTGACTTCCAAAAAAAAAAAAAGATTGGTACTACGAGGCATTCTCTAGATATTCTGAAGACACGAACCAAGTCTTCGAATGAATGGAAGAGAAGTACTCATGCCACTAAAGAAGAGAGCGGGCTGCCATGGAACCAGCGTGTGGGTTCTAGCCTTGTTAGCCCCATTTACTCGGCTTTCATTAGGCTACGGTTTTTCGAAAAAAAAAAGGTCTTTACAAAGGTGATATTCACTCATTCAACACGATGTGAAAGGCTATTGCTGGCCATAGCGCAGCACATAAAATGATGTCCTAAACAAATGCAGGTCTATAGGCCAGCCGCCTAGTTCTTTCCAAGAAATATGTGGCACCTTTCAGCTTTCTCGCAATAAGCAGTGAGGCGGGAACCACGAACGCCTTTACGGCATGGTGATTATGCGATCCAGCTAACCGGAACGGCTAGAGATGCCTCTGGCTCCAATGCGTTTCACTAACCAGGTTTCTAGCAATCATGGCTATTGAATTGGGAAATCACCAAGTCAAGCTTCCTTTACTTCTTGTTTTAATGCGTTACGTTCTAAAAATGGAAATTATAAACATAGAGGCACGTCATGCCTAATGAACATGAAATTAGTAAAGGTGCTAGTTTATTGCTTCCGGCCATGTTATGTAAACTTTTTCTGTTCCGTGTGCCTTGCAATATTTATTTTACATTGTTGTATTGGCGCTAATAATGCATAGCATTTGTCTGTATTTTTGTGTTTTTACCGAAATTCTCACCTCTAAATAATGAACATTAAATTTTGTGCTAATATCATGTAGCATGTTGCATTGTTTTTCTATTTATTACTGTTACCTTCTGCTTAAGGTTTGTGTCATTCTGATGCCAAATTAATCGATAATTCTGGACGCAAAATTTAGATTTTTTGCGTTGCTACGAACTCTCATTTTCGCTGCTTCGGTGATTGGGGGTATAAAAATAAATGGAGAAATTGATAAATGAATGAATCAATAAATGAATGAATAAATAAATCTTTTATTGTGTAACAAGAAGGCACCATTGAAGCACTACAGGCATATTTCCTTGCTGCTATGAGTGCGCACATGCTGGAACACAGTGAAAAAGTGTCGAAAGTAGCGCCAAGTCATGCCCATGAGTAGTGAATGTTTCGAATCGTTAGATAGAATGAGTAGCCTTAAGCAATGCTTGTGGAAAAGCTTGAACGAAACGACTGCTATTACATTTATGACGATACCCCAGGAAGAAATCACATTTAAATTTGTGCCCGTCAATAAAATCACTTGGGATAGAATAACTGTCTTCAATTTTTTCATAGATCTGTGACCTGCTGCGCCAAGGAGTTCCTAATAAGTGGGATGAAGAGCGGAAGTCGTCGTACCTTGTGCTAGACGATGGTGTTCACCTGTATTATGATGACGCAGATAGCGTCCGGCAAAAGGTGAGAACGTCAAGATATATGAGCTGAGGAGCACTTCTTTATGATAGCATAAGCCGGAGTTAGTTGAAGGCTCGAAATGAGTGCCGAATATATTTTTTTTTTGCGAAGTGTGTCATTGATAGTAGTGTGGGGCTCGCGATTGCATACGCACTTTAGACGAGCACTGTTTTAACCGGGGCGGCAGTCCGAATAAACGCCGAAGTTGTGCTGGCCAGTAGGGCACTAAGAAAAGGAGGTTCTGACTGTAAAAGTAATAATCAAAATGGTAAAAGAACCTGCACATTATTCAGCATGTCGACTTTCTTAAAACTCAGATTACCTAGACGAAAGAACGGAAAAAAGACTCATGTGCATTTTAGTTACGTTCCTTTGTCTCTTTTTTTTCTGTAGACGTCACTTCAGGTTGAGCTTAACCTACTCACTCAATTGACAGGTATTCTCAAGTAAGTCACAGTGTGTCCTAATTAGTACCAACGCTTCCGCGAAATATCCAGTGCTTTTGAAGTCCTACAAGTGACGTCTCACAGTTTCACCGTCAGATATCTGTTATGTTAGATGAACAAATACACAGAACACAACGTAGACATATTTCTAAAAAAACACCATGCGTGTAAAGATAAGATTATTTAGATGAACCAATTTCATTCTCTATAAGTACGCCATAAGAGTTCATCAATACTGATGCTGGGTTAAATATTTATTGAGGTTTAGAGCAGCTACAATAAGGCACTTATTCTTCAAAGTAATTTGAATCGTCCAAGGAAGTACGTACAGAAATGTAACCTAGATTGATGAACCTCAAGAAAAGTACTTTTTTATCAAATGAAAGTCTGTCTTGTTGGTTTCGTACACGTAGTGACTTTGAAGCCAAGTTTTCGGCTGATTTCGAAAGCAATAGAGGGTGGAGCTGAAAGTGTCCTTTGCCAGTAATGTAGCCACACAAATTTATCACAAATGGGACTAACATTGAAGTTAGTAATGCATAACAATGTACTCGCTTACAGGTGATCTTTGCCAAGTGGGCTGGGTTAGGAGGTGTGTCAGCATGGCCTGTGAACATGGACAACCAGGCAGGCTTACAGAAGCGCAAAAACGACCTCCTAAAAGGCATTGTTGAAGGCATGAACGAAGACATCAGCCTGGAATCTGCGACCCAAGTAATCGAGGCGAGTGTCGCACCAGGGAGAAAAGATATTGGTGGCATTTCTGCATTAAGTGTGGAAGCGACGCAATCGTCTTCAGTCACAGAAGCTTCAAGTGCTCGAAGTTCTATTCTGGTTGTCACAACCGAAAAAGCAGATTCACGAAGCAATCATACAAACAGTCAAGAGATCAAAGTGGTCACAACACAACTACCGTCGACTGTTTCGCGAAAATACGTGCCACTAGTAGTTGAGAAAGTGACTCATGGCCTTATAAATAGTAAAACCACGTTACCACCGCCTACGCACACTCTGGTTACTCTAACTTCTGGCAGCGAGCCGACAAGCACGGGAACAGAAGTCCCAACTTTTAGCCGAAGCAGCGATACCATCAAGCCAGTAACTACGGACATACCACACAGTTCGTCTCAAATTACTACAACAAATGAAATAGCCGAGTCGAGTAATTACAATACTACCAACGAATTCTCACCACATTACGAAACGCCGCCCACTCCAAATTTCGAGTCGGATTTCTCAAGTACGGGAACAGAAGCGCCTAGCCACAATAGTGACAGCAGCATGAAGCCCGTAACTACTATAATACCGGACATTTCGCCACGAAATAATCCATCGACTCAAGTTGTGGGATCAACTAACTACAATACGGCTGACGAATTTTACCCACATAACCAAACCACGGCTACTTCAAATACCGAGTGGGAGCTCACAAGTACTATAAGACAAGCGCCTACCCACAACAGTGGTAGCGAGACCATGGAGCCAGCAACTACGCAATTACCGGATGGTTCTTCAGGAATCAACGCCACGACTGAAGTAGGGGAATTGACTAAATACAATACCACTGACGAATTCTCACCTCTTAAGGAAACAACAACTACTCGAAATTTTGTGTGGGAGCTCACAAGCACTTTAACACAAGCGAGTACCCACGGCAGAAGTAGCGATACCATGGAGCCAGTAACAACAACAACAATGCCGAACGACTCATCACGGGTTATTACAACGACAGAAGTAGCAAAATCAACTAAGTATGACACTGCTGATAAATCGTCAGCGCTTAACCAAACCATGGCTACTCCGAATTTCGAGTGGGAACTCACAAGCACTGGAACACAAGCGGCTACCCACCACAGTAGTACCGATACCATAGAGTCGGAAACAACAGAAATACCGAAAGATTGGTCACGCTTAAGTACAACGACTGAAGTAGCAGAATCTACTAAGCACGACACCCCTGATGAATTATCAACGCTTAACCAATCCACGGCTACTCCAAATTTTGAGTTGGAACTCACAAGCGCTGTAACACAAGCGGGTACCAGTGGCAGTAGTAGCGATATCATGGATTCAGTAACAACAGCAATAGCGGACGATTTGTCACGGGTAATTACAACGACTGAAGTAGCAGAATCAACTAAGTATGACACTGCTGATAAATTGTCAGCGCTTAACCAAACCATGGGCACTCCGAATTTCGAGTGGGAACTCAGAAGCACTGGAACACAAGCGGCTACCCACCACAGTAGTACCGATACCATAGAGCCGGAAACAACAGAAATACCGAACGATTGGTCACGCGTAAGTACAACGACTGAAGTAGCAGAATCTACTAAGTACGACACCACTGATAAATTATCAACTCTTAACCAATCCACGGCTACTCCAAATTTTGAGTGGGAACTCAAAAGCACTGTAACACAAGCGGGTACCCTTGGCAGTAGTAGCGATATAATGGATTCAGTAACAACAGCAATACCGGACGATTTGTCACGGGTAATTACAACGACTGAAGTAGCAGAATCAACTAAGTATAATACCACTGATAAATTGTCAGCGCTTACCCAAACCACGGCTACTACAAATTTCGAGTGGGAACTCACAAGCACTGGAACACAAGCGGCTACCCACCACAGTAGTACCGATACCATAGAGCCGGAAACAACAGAAATACCGAACGATTGGTCAAGCGTTAGTACAACGACTGAAGTAGCAGAATCAACTAAGTACAACACTACTGATGAATTGTCATTGCTTAACCAAACCACGGCTTCTCCTAATTTCGAGTGGCAACTCACAAGCACTGGAACACAAGCGGCTACCCGTGGCAGTAGTAGTGATACCACAGAGCCGGCAACAACAGAAATGCCGAACGATTGGTCACGCGTAAGTACAACGACTGAAGCAGCAGAATCAGCTAAGTACAACACCAGTCATAAATTCTCAACGCTTAACCAAGCCACGGCAACACCAAATTTTGAGTGGGAACTCACAAGCACTGTAACACAAGCGGGTACCCGCGGAAGTAGTAGCAATACCATAAAGACAGTAACAAAAGCAATACCGGACGATTTGTCACGGGTTTATACAACGACTGCAGCAGCAGAATCAACTAAGTACGACACCAATGATGAATTCTCAGTGCTTAATCAAACCACGGCTACTCCACATTCCGAGCGGGAACTCACAAGTACTGCGGCACAAGTGGCTGCCCGCCGCAGTAGTAGCGATACCATGGAGCCCGCAACCCCAGAAACACCAGATATTTCATCACCCATCAATACGGCGACTGATGTAGCGGAATCGACTAATTACGGTATCACTGATGAACTCTCATCATTTAACCAAACGACGACTACTCCCAATTTCGAGTGGGAGGTCACAAGCACAGGCACAGAAACGTCTAACCACATAGCACCGGTGACTACGGAAATGCCACACACTTCTTCGCGCTTGATCAGAACCACGGAGCTAGCGGAAGTAAATACGTATCGTACTACAGACGACGATTTGTACGTGACTCCTTACACACAATCGAACGCGTCACCGGTGGGAAATACTTTCAGCACAGAAAGCCCAATCGTATTGCAAAGCGTGAGTTCCACCGAACGGGAACAATTGGCGAGCTCCAGTACCGACACAGAATCACCTAATACTCGGGGTGTCGTTACGCCACCATCAACATCGTTATCCTTGATCTCAGCGGCAAATAAATGCGAGAAGCTAACAGTGGGAACGGTAGCGCATGAATCAGACGGTGAATTTTACTACCACTGCCACCAGCGGCATTGCTCTCCTTCGCAAATGCGCGAAAGGTTCGAAGTTCAATGGCGCCACAGGGCATTGCAGCGTCCCAATTACAGACCGGCATGGTGTTTCAGCAGTCCAGGCATCTTCAATAAGCCACCACGTTGTGGAACTTTTGAACAAAGTAGTGTCCGGTGAAGTTTCATTGGGTAAAAATGAGAGCGTAGGTGTTGATGTAAACATCAAGTTTAACGTCGGAGGAGCAAGGGGTTAGGCAAATGCTCTTCAGATATATTTTGGTCATTAAAAAAAATCAAAACTGATTTTATGACCTTGTAATTGTATTTGGAATTTGGAGATGTCAATAAAGCATTACGTGTTAGAAAGAAAATCTTCGCGATGTTTTTTTTTTACAGAATGACTGAAACTAGTCACAGAAACCTTTCTAACCGAATCATTTGTACGAGAAGATCCAGTACTCTTATACATAAGACTGTTCACACTGCAGCAAATACTTGGTCCTTGGCCAAAGTAGAGCTTTGAAAAAGAGCTCCAGACACCACAAAGAATTTGGTGGGTCAAACAAATATTTTATAGAAGTGTTAAGGTACACTCTATGTGTAGTTAGTTGTCTTTCGTGTGTTTCCAGTGCATGTCAAGCCGCACAGAAGACCTGATTTTGTGCGTGCAAATGTAAACATATCTTACATACCTGAACTTGTAATAGAGTACTTGCGTGTTCTGTGCTGCTGAACTGTGATGCGTTCGCACATTTTCTGTTCCAATGTAATTATTTATCAGAAACTTTGCCGGCGTCTCATATGGGGCCTTAGGCAGGGGTTGGTAATACATCAAAGAAAACATATGGAAATGCAACAAAAGAAATATAGCGCAGGACTTCACCATCGAGAAGTCTTATATCAATTGCGAATGCCAGCACTTACGTATTTCATAATATTTTCGCGTATACGCACATACAGAAAAGAGAGAAAAGAAGTAAATAACATGAAAAAGCAGTGACGGCAAACATGCGTCGAGTGCATATTATTTGAAAACGAAGTATCATGTAAAAGGGACGGGATTATCAGCACGCCCATACATTAATTACACGCATAATTGCAATAGTTGCCAAAAACATTTTAGGTAAATGAACAAGTATAAGAAAGCGTAACGTAAAGTAAAACCTGTTGCACCTGCGTTATGTTGAGCATACGAAGCTGAATAACAAGGATCGAAGAATAAAAGAAGTGTGAAAGTCAGTATATTACTGTTGTTCAAGTTATGACATAAACAAATGAAAAGCTTCACAGTTTATTAGATCCACAAACAGAGCATTCCAATCAGTGATGGTGCGCCATTTACCCTTTCAGAGTGTATGCATTCAGAATGTATGCCATTTTCGAAGCCCTATTTATGCTTAGTGCCGTACATTTTGTTTCCTAAGTGAGAGGAAGTACATGGTGCTGTCATAAAGGCACCAACTTCCCATATGTTCATAGTTTCAGTGAAGGAAAAAACAAAAAAAAGTCACAAGAACAATAAGTAGATGATCTCAGTGAGTCTGCCGCTTTGGCAGCAAAAGAAAGAACGCATCATGCGATACTAAGGACAAAAATGTCGACGAACAAGCCAACCGCACCGAATGCAAGTACGTTTAGGCCTATCACCTAAAACAAAAACCTCCAAGGTAAAACTGATGTAACGCAACAATACGTCTAGCAGGGCTCCTAGTTTAATTGTGTAGTGAGGATAAACATAATTTGCCTAAATATAAGTGCTTGTCAGTAAAAGTCAGTAAAACAAAAACGCGATAACTAATCGGGAGAACGGCAGGTGAAGATACAGAACAGCGGACAGCCTGCTGATATATATATATATATATATATATATATATATATATATATATATATATATATATATATATATATATATATATATATATATATATATATATATATATATATATATATATATATATATATATATATATTGATCAGTACTGCCACTTTTAGTTGCCTTTTTGTTTGTTATCAATTGATTGATATGTGGGGTTTAACGTCCCAAAACAACCACCATATGATTATGAGAGACGCCGTATAGTGGAGGGGTCCGGATATTTCAACCACCTGGAGTTTTTTAACGTGCACCCAAATCTGAACACACAGGCTTAAAACATTTCCGCCTACACCAGAAATGCAGCCGCCGCAGCGGGTATTCGATCCCACAACCTGCGGGTCAGCAGCCGAGTACCTTAGCCATAAGATTGATAAGACCACCACGGTGGGGCTGTTTGTTATCAAGACATTATGGTTTTGCCGTTTCCAGGTGCTAGAGAACAGTATCTGAAGTCGTGAAAGTTCTTTGAGTTTGCGAATGTTCTTGCTGATATTCTCATTGATACAATTAGAATAAAAACTCGAGAGCTGTCGCAAACGTGAATATAAAAGCTCGACCAACTCCGCTTCACGGCCACTGACGAAACAGCGAAGCTGGCAGCGTTCTCTTCGTCAGGCTAATGATTTTCTACGTCTTGCATGCTTTTCGCAAGCACGACAGCAGCCTTGAGACTATCGCTTTGGCAGCCGTAGCGTACAGCGTCTCGTTGCCAAGCGTGTCGTATTCACTATCTCGAAAGGCAAGGGCACGCCAGCCGTGCGCCAGCGAAGGCGGTCGGCATTTAGTGGAGTAACCGTGTTCACATTTCGTGTACAATTTAAGCCCATAATTGTCACGCCAGCAAACAGCACATGAGCAACTGAATAAACTACGGAAGGTACTACGTTAATTTTCATGAAAGGAAACACGCAAGCGCGTGACCTGCGCTCTGTCGCGGCCGCCTGCAGCGCCATCAACCGACAGATAAAAAAAGCACGTCCGCTGTTCGCGCCATCTGTTACCAAACGAAAGAAGCCTTAACCGTTGAACAACGCGCTGCTAAATTGTGCTCCCGCTCTAGTTTCGAAACGGGTGATGCGGCGAAAAGCGGACGCACTTTCTTTATCTATCGGCTGAACGTGTTGTAGACAGCTGCCGCAGAGCGAAGGCCAGGCGCTCACGAGTTCCCTTTCATAAAAATTGATACTATGTGTACACGTGAAACTACCACGCAAAAGTGAGTGATGCCTCGTTGGCTCGGGAATGCACCAAACTCAACACAAAATTTGGTATCAGAATGCCTGCATACGCCCCCTCCCACCTCCCCCCCCCCCTTTAAGGCGCTTGATATATAAACTAGACAGCCAGCCATAAAGCCAAGCGTCAAATAAATGGTTAAGTCATTTCTACTCTACTTTCGCATGCATATAAAAAATTGACGAATTCTAAAAAAATGTTTTTAGTTTTTATATCCCCCCCCCCCGTCTCCCCTAGTCCCGATTCAATCATCGGTGGGTGTTGATGTCTGTTGCAATCAGTTTTCGACCTCTTTTAATTCCACGTTTAACGACCGATATGATTTCACCATGTCTAAGGGGCATCGAAATTTATACACGTGGCATCGACGATGCATGCTTAACGTTGGTAGCCACTTAGCTCTAAAACAATCTGCACTGTCCGCGTTGCGTGCTCTAGTTCATCAGAACAATCTAGAATAACTGGGGCTTCTTGACTTTCTGGAGCGGTGCGCTCTAAACAGGGGCCACACGTGGTCCCATTACACAAAAATTGACACGTGCGTCGCACTATTGACCCCCTACCCCTCACATCGAAATGGTAATTCCACAGGTAATGCTAGAAACGGGAGGACCAAAGTTTCAGGGTAACCATGGCAAGCGCCCCAGGTGCTTCAAGTAGTTGCCAGCACTGGGCGCCGCTGCCGCCTCCACCGGAAGCAGAGCTTTCAAGTCACGTTTTTGAATAGGAATGTTATTCACCTGAAATATGAATGCAAAAACTGCAGAAACGTGACAGTTATCCAGAGAGTGTCAGCGTTCCACGAAGTTTTGGGGAAATGTCCGATAAGTTTCTAAGCTGTGTTCGGACTAATGAGATCCGACAGGAGGTATTTAAAAAAATCAGATAAATTGCTTGTAAGATTGCCCGAAAAAGACCGAGTCATGCGCAGGAAAGGAATTCCAGGTAGGTGATTTAGGAGTGATTTAAAAAAATTCTAGTCCGCCATTGTGTCACGATACAACAGGTAGATAGAGTATAGTGATAACAGCTGGTGGAATCTCCGGGTAAGCATACTATTTTCTCTATAACTGCAAGGATCTACTCAAGAGAAAGAAAATGCAGCGATAGATGGCCAAACATGGCCTGCATGCCGACCGATGGAGTAACCTGCAAAAATAGCTACAGCTCAACAGAAGTAACTGCAGTAACAACGGCAACAGTAAACCCTAATTAAAAGTAGTGTAGTTGAATGTGATTAAACCAAACTTGTCGTGCGATAGCAGCAACTGTAGTGGACAGAATGCTCCGGCGGCGTGCCGCGTCGCAAGTAGCGGCTTGCTGTTCATGACTCTCTGTACTCCTCAACGGAAACCACGTGACAGAAGTTGTGGTCATTGCGAGCACTGAGCGGTCAACGAAAAATAGCTGCTGCGCGTATCCGTTACTATGACGGTGCACGTGGGCAGTGGAAGAGGAGGAACGTGACGTGCGCTAAACTATAATTTGAAAGACTCGCTCATACATTTCTTTGGTACGGCCCGGAAAAACTCGAGTTATCGTTTTAAGCTTCATCTATTTTATACTGCGGTATATGTTGCTGGAATGTCGGAAATAGGTAAGAAACGTATCAAAACAAAAAGAGGGAAAAGAACAAGAAGCGTAATGAACATGCAGCACGGGATGCCATGACTGGAAGTTATTATTATTATTATTATTATTATTATTATTATTATTATTATTATTATTATTATTATTATTATTATTATTATTATTATTATTATTATTAATATTTATTCAATACTGTGGGCCTTTTCAGGCCTATGCAGGAGAGGGCGTACAGAGCAAATAACACTTCATATCGCGGAGATGAAAAGAAATGGAAAATATGCAACACAAACCGCAAAACAACGATATAACAGTATAAAGCAATAAACAAACAGTGCACATGTGTTTCACTAAAAAAAACTACTTAGCATGATAACATCAACGGTAACATTGATATACAGATGCAGGCGGTTAAGCACGCGTAGCAATTTGTGAGCACATGCGCGACACACTGTTTCAACCTTTATTTCGGCGAAGATAGCACAGGATTTATTGCAATGCCTCTAAATGAATGTCCAACAGCGATGAAAATGATTCAAGTTCTGTAGTTCCATAGCCTCCTTACTCGTAAGAGGTAGCTTCGGCACTGAGAACGCCGAGTTCATTTATTGCTTGTTTCTGCTGTAAAAGGACTGTTAAAACGAGTGTAACACACCCGTAGTTGAGTGTGTGAGTGTTTTATATTTAAAGACGATAGTCTTTCTTGCGGACTGTCGACGGAAAAATTTTGGTCTGTCTGTCTTTGTCTGTCTGTACATCTGTCTGTTTGTCTGCTCTTAACAATACCTCAAACAGCCAACCCCAGCCGCTGCGCCCATCAATAGTGCTCAAGCTTCAGCGATCATACTTGTGTGACTTTCAATTAAAAATCAATTATTGCGCATATATGAGGCACCATAACAACACGTCAATATTGTGCATGTGTGTCTTTTACTAGAAAATGCATACATAAGTAATTCTAAGGACCATAGCGCTTATTACGCTTGCTGACCATGCAATGCTTGCACGAAAAGGCAAGTGTTTCCAACGCTTTGCTAAGACGAGACGGTGGTGGCACCTACCCGTCGCCGTGCGTTCTACCCCTTATCAGCTCCGAGACACACGCGCACGCCGCCACGCTTCGTTTTCCAAGATAACTGCTAGATGGCGCTCATGTCTTGCGTTTGAGGTGACTTGATGCGCTCGTTCTCCTTTGCTGTACGCTCGAGACACTATTACGCGGCGCCTCCAGAATACCAATCACCGATTTTCTTGCGCAGAACATCAAATAACGTTTTGTTCACTCTCTCCAGACGCAAGACTATCGTCTTTCGACGGCATTTGCAGTGTAACCTGCAAATACAGGGCCAATGTTTTTTCTTTAACCATTCCTTTTTTTTCTGTTTCACTCCTTACCTTTTCATACCACTTTTTCTTTCCGCAGCGTGGGTAGCAAACCAGAAATTTTCTTCTGGTTAGCTTCCCTGCTTTTCGCTCAACCTAAACTCTGAACGGCGCCCGATGACGCTATGCCATTCTACTGTTGAAGACCAAACCCAAACGTTGTGAAATCGTTTGGATGCTCACACATCCTGCTGTGCCAATTTTGATATATATCATGTCAACGAGGTGACAACTAGAGCACCAAGACGCAGGTGAACAGACAGACAGACAGACAGACAGACAGACAGACAGACAGACAGACGGACGGACGGACGGTCGGACGGACAGACAGACAGACAGACAGACAGACAGACAGACAGACAGACAGAAAGACAGACAGATAGATGATAGATAGATAGATAGATATATAGATAAAACGTTCAATTTGCCTTTGTTTCGTTAGAAATTGCTTCTCATAAAGTAATAAGAGTATAGCATCGATAGATTGGCTTGAACTCCGAATGGTTGTTGCAGCTGTGTGCACATTTACCTCACTGCACCCTGCCGTAGCCAGCTGCCACATCTGCACAATCACGGATGCCAGCGTTCTGTTTTGCATGACAGAGAAAATGACAATCCACGTGAAGACTTTTAGAGAGATTTAGAACAACTCAAAAAGCACAGCAGATTCAGTGAGCTGGAGTATTAGCGAAGGCCATTGAAGCAATCCCACCTAGAGCAGATGTTGTTTTAGGCGGCAGGAGGAGTCTTACGGTACCTTCTGCTGGTCGTTTCCGAACACTTCAGAACGCTGTGGTGGCACTTGTTATATTCGGCTGGTTGTAATTGAGCCCTACGAATACATAAAGCGGATTATTTCATAGCACAATGCTCTATTACTCAACGCTTCGTAACGCTCTCATTTGCACCTGGCAGTGGACAAAAATGTGACGTAATACCCACGCCTTGTCTATTTCTTAAAGACCACTTGGGAACGTTGCTTCTGCTATGTTTTACTTTACAAAGTTTTGCGACAATTGAAGAAGTGCAAAAGCTTAGCCAATACTACAGCAATCATTGAGTATCAGTATAAAGGCTGCGGAGGTTTCGAAACCTGAGCTTCTTATTGACAATGCCATGTCATTCGTTACTTGAAGGCAACAGCACGTGGAGATAATGGATCTAAGCTTGAGCTAAAATGCCATGCATAATACGTTTTTAGGCAAGAATGTGTGGGTGAACGTTTAATGATATGATGATGATTGATATGTGGGGTTTAGAGTCCCAAAACTACCATAGGATTATGAAAGACGCTGTAGTGCAGGGCTCCGGAAATTTGCACCACCTGGGGTTCTCCAGCGTGCACCCAAATTCGAGCACACGGATCCACAAGCATTTTCGCCTCTATCGAAAATGCAGCCGCCCCAGCCGGGATTTGATCCCACGATCTGCTGGTCAGCAGCCGAGTACCTTAGCCACGAGAACACCGCGGCGGGGCCTGGTGCACGTGTGTTCTGGCACAATATAACCATAAGTTTTCTTTACACAACTTGAGGTACTGCGAAACTGAATGAAACATTGTGATAAGAAATCTTCACACAAAAAATAAATGGGAAATAAAGCGAATGATTGCAGTTAACTACTCTTATTTTTCAGATATAATCAATTTAATCATTGGAAGCTGCATGAGCAATGACAAAGTTTTCAGATATCAATGATTCAGGTACGCACGTTCCTTGTTGTAAAGAACTCCGTTCCAGATACTCGTCCGATGGGCCTGTAACTGATCGCAGTCTTAGCACGAGTACCAGCAAGCACATAAAAGTAGTCTGAAGAAATTTGGTGCAAAAGTATTGCATAAATGTAGAATAATGATCAAAGCAGTAATAAAAACTGAGTCAGGCCTAGGTAATATATGACGTATTTATTCGGTCATTGTAGAAGATGGTATTCATTTCGGGATCCACTCGGCATCGAAACCGAATGGTAACAAGTGTCATTGTTTGCTTTATCTGCGTTAACCACTTCTTAGATGTTATGGTCAGTGGCTGTGTTGCCGAGAAAACTATGCACCAGATCAATAAGCACAATCAAAGCTCGTTGAAGGCATCACCCAGGCACCACCATGCGCAATATTCAATCACTTTATAGCTTCGTCAAAGCTTATGCAATTTGACAGGCACTGATAACTTTCGGGTATTTCCTCGTCCATACCAGACTTTCTTCTTTTCTGTTCTGTTCTAACAGTTTCAATGTGGAGAGGTTGAGATCCATATTGCCTCAGCTACTCCATATAAATAAGTTCTGCAGCAAAAAAAATAATAGAAATACCAGATTCGCCGGATTAAGGGCATGCTGTCCTAGAAGCCGCTCTTGTACAAAATGCCCTTTCCCATTCTCTTGTGAGGCTACAGTGGTTTATTGTATTTTCATTTTCCTTACTAAATATTAGGCTGAATATTGTTTTTTTTTGTTTGGTAAAGTCCTGAGTTATTTGTTGCAAGCCATTCGCGGTGTTACTTGAGAGTACGGTGCTAGTCTTGGGTGTATAAAATGCGTGCCCTAGATACAGATAACTTCAAGCTTATGAATATAATACCTTTAAGGAGATAGTGAATACGTAGTATGGGACAGTGACTTTGATGTCTTCTACGTTGAAACAAAGTCAGATTTATTGAACCAGACATTTCGGTGCCAATTTGATATATTGTACACAAGCAACATGTGTGTTACCATTATACTAAAGTTGTCCCAATTTGAGGCTAAAATTTATTATTCCCGACACATAAATCAAATCAATCATTTTAGGCTAAAATTGTCATAGTAGATAATTTTAGATAAAGTGACTGCATGCCTATTTTTTAATAAAGTGATAAACAATTTGATTATGTCAGGACTTTGAAAAATCAGCCCTGTCATAGAAGGCTCCTCTGTTGTCTCAAGAAAGTGACATTCGTTGCTTAGCTTCTTGCAAGTCACTGATATTTGCCCGAATTGGCCTTAATACACGGGCAATTGGTTTAATAATGGGCAAAATTAGAAACAAATGCGTTAATTTGTCTACCTACACAGGCGTCGAAGGAATAAGAAAAACTGACTCAACGATGAGCAGTGGGAAATTTGTAGCCAAAGTTATGGTATATCAGCATCTTTCCAAAGAGTCATAAAATCAGACGCCACCGATATTTCGGCTATTCTGTCTTTCATCCGCTGAATCTGTTCAGGAGTGAAGTGGTTTCTCCAGTCTCCCACTTTACCCTTTCGAACAAATTCGCCTGTCATGGGAGTCTCCATTAGAGCTACGAATTTGAGAACACCTTTGATGATCTCCGGACGAACAGTGCTTAGCATAGGGGACTTGCTCAGGGGCGTCCTCTGTGGATCGTGATGGAACAGCATCTTCATATGGGCCAGGCTAGTCTTCTCTAGAATCCGGTTGAAGAGATCGGGATTTTCCTTGAAGTTGTTCTGCCACTGCGGTCCCATGAAAGCGGCGATCTTGAGAATGCAATTCCTAGTGTCCTCCTTAAGCTCTTCGAACGGTCAAGAAGAGGACGTTTGAGTCGTTTCGGTGTTCGTACCAAGATATGACATTTTGGAAGTAATCGCCGAACTCCACCCGGCCCTGCATGAAGAGTTCGAAGAACTCGTCAAATGTCCCATCTTGAAAACGGTACGCAGGGATGTGCTTAGTGTGGTAGTAGAAGGAGACGCACGTGTCGTACGGGTTTCTCGCAATGTACACGTACTTTGCTTCTGGAGAGTACGGTATCTTGTTGAATGGCAGGTGGCTCTTGAAGGCGCTAGGTTGCGGCGCGTACATGGCCGCTTCTGCTCCTTGCAAGTCGAGGCAGGGGAATCGCATGAGAAGGTCGAAAGGGTTTGTAGCGTTTTCGGCGTTCATGAGGATGTTGTACATGATGTGCTGAGTCCACGTGGATCCTGCCTTCGGATAGCTCACCAGAAAAAGGTCGCCCGGCCGCGGTTTGTACGCCAATGTTGAAAGTATCGCATCGTCCGAGAAATGCTTGCCGATGTGGAGTCCTTCAATGTTCCTGAAGACGTCCGTTGCCATGGTGTGCTATCCGGTGACTTCAGCTGGGAAAAAAAAGGCGTACGTGAGAATGAAGAACGGGCATGAGGATCGCGTTTTCACACATCTTCGTTTCCACACTAAAGGACCGTACATATTTCACAGGCGAATGATTTGGGAAATAACGACATCGTAGATTAACAGGTATGAGTTGTAACTTAGGAAGCGAAAGGCATTTGCCTGAGTCTTAGATAACATATACGTGAATTATTTGCTTCTCTTATATGTAATATTAGCTTCCCCTATGAATGAACAAGACGCTGGAGATTTTTTTAGTTTTGTTGCACTACATTTTTATCTCCCATGTCTTCTTACTGTGATGCTGCGCAGTGGGCTACAGCTGTATTACCACAATTTCAAACACGCGTCGTGTATTCGTTGTCCTATCAGCATCTTTAAGAATTTTCATTTCATGCTGCTGAATTGTTTTATTATTTTCGAAGTTCTTCTAGTTGCCCTATTTTCGAACACTGCCATGACATGCTAACACGGGAAGTCGCAGCGCATGCTGAAACATGAAACAAACTCGAATGCTTTCGCATGATCGATAGTTCGATGATACGACCATGGTACATGCCGACCATGGTTCATGGTGACTCCCCATTGTAACGCATTTCACAAGTTCAGGTACAGCGGAATTTTCACAAAAACAACCGATATCGCGATAGTTTACAGCGCATCAGCATCTGTCTGCTTACCTGAAGCGCACCATTGTCGCTTAAAAAGTGCTATTCGCATTCCGAAACTAGTATGTCATAAAAAGTTGGTTGGTTAAATATGCGCACACTTCTCGTGTGCATAATATCATGTATAGTTATACGAGCAAGAACACGTAGAGATATAAAATATATGCTAATACATCATATTATGATCTCACAGAAAGTAAATGCCGTGTGTAAATATGTGCCTTTTTTGTGCGCTGGAGCTTTCCACAAATCGATTGTGTCGGAGGCGCCATTATGTACGACGGTAAGAGGCTGCGATGAAATAATCATTCAAAGATCGGTATATTCCATATAAATGTCAGAAGTGTAAATATAATAATTTTTTGCGTAAAATCAGTGAATAATGGCACAAAAAGCCCCTTAAGCACGTAAAAATGTACGTAACCTACTTTTTGTAAGTATTAATTATTAGAAATTCTGTTCAGTAAGGCTTCCTTGGACTGTCAGCCCCTCAATATTGAGATTGAGTGGCCCATGTGAGAACAATAATACTTCGTGAAGGGTTTTACAGTAATATCAATTTCTGTCCGAAACCATAGTGGAATAAAGAGCGCGAAGTAAATGCGCCCACAGGGTCCGCCACGGTGGATCAGTGACGGAGGTGCTCGGCTGCTCACCCGAAGGTTTCGGGTTCGACTCCAGCCATGGCGGTTGAATTTCGGCAGAGGTGAAACGGTACTGGCAACCGTGTACTGTGTGATGTCAATGCACGTTAAAGAGCACCGGAGGGTCAAAATTTTCGGAGCCCTCCAGTACGGCTTCTCTCATACTCATATCGTAGGTTTGAGATGAAAAACCACAGATTCGATAACATTTTTTTTTCAAGAACGCCTAAATACAAAAGTACCATAGATCTTGCAATAATCTCCTCAATATACGTGTTCCACAGCTGGAAGTCGAACGTGCGTCATAGAGAGTATTCCTCCAACAACACAGCCAATCAGCTACCACGGAAAGCGTTACTCGGCTAAACAGCGACACCTTTAGAGAAAAAGGAGGAATGTGTTAAAATACGTGGCCGAGTAGCACGTCGTCTATCAAGGTGTGCTGTGGTTTACATGTATAGCCAATAGGTTTGGGCGAAAACCTTAATAGACTGAAAGATAAACAACCTCCGCACCTCCGCGCAATAGGGTGACAAAGAACATCAGCACATCGCGTTCATCGACTATGTCCTACGTGCAAGAAAAAGTGTCAAATAGTTTTTTTCTTCATTTTGATTGTTACTTTGAGGCTTGCAGCAACGCGTATTATTACAAAATATTGCTTTTGAAGAGAGCTTCCAGCCATGAAAAGTAGGTAGAAATGAAAATATCTGACTCACACCTTTTTTTTTTTTGCAATTGAAACAACAAGTGGGAAAAGAGGCATAACACAGCTTGAAGACATGCATTCAGAGCACCAGCGGACTAAGCATTGTTATGAGAGCAACCATTCTTTCTAGTGTACTCACCACTGAAAAAAAAAAAAAAAGGCGCAGCACAGTCACAGCGAAAGCTAGAAGAGCCACCTTTCAAAGCCTTTTCAAAACACTCATTGGGTAACTACTGCAAGCACACTTGCTTGGTACCCACTATGGCATTAATAATATACTTTTGGGTAGTAGGCCAGCATTCGCTTTGCTATTTTTTGTCATTCTTCTGAGAAGCCTGGTATCCGCTAAACACTTGCAAGGAATTTTGTGCTAATTGTCCATGCAGTGGCTAACGATGATGAGTAATTATGGCTTAATTGGGTATAGCGTCACAGGTAATAGGGAAAAAAGAACAAGCTTTTGTAACGGAATCGGAGTATCGGAAGGCCCACTCGTTACGCTAATCGCATTGTGCGACGACTGGTTGTTCTCTCGCTGTTTTCAAACGCTTTATATGTCGTACTAACGCGGTTGCTTTCCCGACATCAAGGTTGCCTAAAAACAAGTTTACCAACAAGTCACAAGCACCAGCGTAGCTTAGTTGTAGAATACTGGGTTGGCACCCAGCGAAACCAGGTTCAAGCCACACTGTGTCTGCAGCGCTAGATTTGCCAACAAGTCACATGCACCGGCGTAGCTCAGTGGTAGAATACTGGGCTGGCACCCAGCAGACCCGGGTTTCAAGCCCCACTGTGTCTTTCGAGCTAAGTTATTTTTTTCTAATTTCGCGATGTGGTTACGGACACCGGCGGCGGACAGCTGCGCGTGACCTGAGCTGTGATCTCATAACAGCTTTCGCTGTAAAAAATAGTGACATCAGTTAATCATTTTAGCACGGACAATTTGCTTTAGTTATCGCACGCACATCTTAGGAAATCATGCATTCAGGGGTACACTTTTTTTGAGTGGAGCAAATATATTTCATTTCCATTCTTCCGTAATAAATTTCTCATCTAACCAAAGCTGGTTCCACAAGTCATAAAAAACAAGGGGCATTCCAGCGTTGAGAACACTTACCTTATGTCAGCAGAAATCAGTGTATATTCTGACAATGGGCTTAGCCGCTTCAAGTGCTTGTGGCAGTTGGGTGGACGGGCAATGTACACAGTGCGCGGTACCTTAAAATTAGGCCCATTGACAACACAGGTAGTTGGTAATTTTACAAAAACGATAGCCTGGTAGAAGTGATATTGTCTTTTGGGAATAAGTCAGTGCGAGGCGCCTATCAGGAGGGCTGATGCGCCGAAACGAGCGTGCTATATGGCCCACCTTATCGTAGATGGAATCCGCGTAAACATATTCGTGAGGACTATCTTTTAGTCCGTCCGAAAGCACATTGAAGAGAAGTGCCTCTTGACGTACGCACCCAAAAGGCCAACTACTGGCGATAGCACTGGAGAGGCCATATCTGCGAAATGGGTCGAAGCGTTCCATTCCGTAGATTGCAACGCCTAAACAATGGTTTCCCAGGAATGGCTCTGCTTCTGTGTCCGCGCTTTCAGAACACTGAGAATGGCACACATATTCAGAACACTCAGATTGTGCGTCTGAAAACAATGTTGTCTTTCATTGAGCTGGTAGTGCATTTTGACGCACGGAAACACGACTTCATGCGCACTTGGTTCGTACATACATAGATTACTACGCATATGTAACTCGCGTTCGAAAAACTCCTGAAAACCTCGCATTGCATGAAAACGATAAGTACCAACGTTGCAACTAGTTTGTAACACAGATTTACTTGAACTGGCGTATACATGTAAGACAACACCGTTGCAACAGCGCATTCTTCACAGCGTTAACGACTCTTTCTCTCGGTCGTTGGACACGTTGAAGCTGTAGGCTGATTAAGCGATATGCTGTGCAAAATAAAGAAGCACAATAAGCACGAGCCCAAGAACGGTGAGACCGGCCTCGAGTTGGTTTGTCTTTAATGCTTTGGTTCGTTATTAGAACTGAACACTCGAAGACGACTCGGACTTAGCCTACTAAATAGTCAAACTCCTTCGAAGCGTGGTTCGGAGGCTCAGGTTGAACCCTCAACTGTCAGGGCAGCAACGAAGCATCTCAAACTCCTGAGCCACCTCGAATATTTCATGTGCTCTTGGCTGCAGATGATTTTATGAGAAAAATGATGCGCAATATCTACGAAATATATGTGGCAAGCTGTGCTATTCAAGCTGAAGCCCGGAGAAGCCGAACCATTTGTTGCCATAAGAAGACATAGACCATGCAAATGTTCGGCCCATGCCACTTTCACCGAATGAAACCATTTTCTGCACTGAAAGATAAGACCAAAATACTTTCCCAAGCAATGAGGAGTACTCAGTGCTCGTACCCTAAACATTTAGCGTGGTAGAAAAATTTTATTTCAGCTTTATCGCCGTGCCAAGCCGATGGCATGTTGCGAGCTTCGCGGCCACGCCATGAGGCGTCGCCGCAATCGAAACAACGACAGCGCACCCTCGGCGTAAGTAAACGCTTTTTGTAAAAGAGATGAACTTGAGACATAAAAATAAAGAATATTCTTGTTAATGTTTATGCAAACATAATACAGCCAGTTGAAATGTTTCAATAATTGTTCGCGGAACGGAAGTTGCTAAGCGCGGGAGCAGATGACTCGTATGCTGGAGCATCAGCCTGGTGCAGTCGCAGCAAGCTGCATCAGTTCATGATGGCATTAAACTTATCATGCATACTGCTGCGCAAAATGGTGCAGCAGTTCTAGAAAAAAAGGTGCGAACCACTTCTTCAGGGTTCCGTCCGACATCAGGTACGTTAATTCACGTTATTTTGTACCAATGTCACTGACTAGTTAAGGGCGAGCAACAACGCGTGCCATT